CGTCAAACTCCTCACAATCTCCAACCTTGCACCAGCTTTTCTTTTCACTATCGCTATTTCATACCGACTGAACGGATTGCGGTCTGGGCAAACTGCAGCCTCGTGGTGCGTGAATGACCTGCGCTGCCATCGTTCCTTGAGTCACGCCGTGACGTGACCGGCTTCTGCCTCTTCCGGGACAACTCTTCGCTCGGTGCCTCTCAACGGCTCTTGGACTATCGTCTGCCGACTATCGCGAGAACCCCCATGATCCAGCGCAGATAGACCTGGTGCTGGTGCCCGCTGGCAACGATGGCCACGTCCATTACCGAGGCTCAGGCCGAGCTGATCAAGTACGTTTGGGCTTCCCAGATCCTGTGGCCTATCTCGAGGTCAATGGCCACTATCTGATAGGGATCCGACACTGACTCTGGCTCTAAGCTCGTTGGCCCCCGACGATATCCCACACAAACTGCGATGCGCCAATTGCAGCAAGCTGGCCGTCAACGCCCTCCGCCTGCCCTGCTGTGAACAGGCCATCTGCGAAACCTGTATGTCGCATGCTCTTGATGAATACCTCTTCTGGGCCCAGCTCTAACCGCGCAAAGGCCACTCGAACCTCCCCCAGTCGTGCCCCGTCTGCGAGCACTCTCCGCTATCGGCAGCGGACTGCAACCCTAACAAGTCTCTCCGAACCACCATCAGGGTGTTTCTGCGTACAGCGGAGAAGAAGCGAGAAGCCTCTCGGCCAAAGGAATCCAACGAGTCGGCGCCCCCCACGCCGGTTGATGCGCCGAAGCCGTCGCTGCCCGACGCCGATGTCGCTACTCCGATAGAAGGACCGGCAGAAAAGGCGGCCGATGCCGCTGAAGAAGGACCTGCGCAAGAAACGGCGCCGCAGAGCGCTGACGAGCCGGCCGCTGGCCACGAGCAGGAGCAGCAGGTTTGAACACCCGACAAACAAATTCGCTACCCCTATTGTCACAATGCTAACGTGCCCGGTTGCCCACAGCAGGAAACAGCAGCAGACAACGCGGAAGAGGCGTTGCCACCGAAAGAGCAATCAGACCTCGCTGAAACCCAGGGTGCCGAAGGCCCAGCTGATGAGGGCGATGACGCTACCAAAGGCGAAGAGCAAGACGGCGCGGGCGAAGGCGACGATGGCGCTGGCCAAGCTGGCAACGACCAAGAACAGTACGGTGGCGATGCAGCCAATGGCGGATTCCAGCAAAACATGATGTTCCCCGGCGGCGACTTCAACCAGATGCAGATGATGATGGCTATGCAAAATGGAATGGGACCCAATTCCTTTGGCGGGTTTCCTATGATGGGTGAGCCCCCTTGTCGCCCCCTTTTCAGTCCGGTCCAGACGACTGACAGCCCAGCAGGCATGCCGGGGATGGGCATGGACCCGATGCAGAACATGTACATGAACGGAGGCTTTCAAGGCATGGGCATGAACGGCATGGGTGGCTTTGGAGGAGGTTTTGGACAAGGCTCCAATGAGAACTGGAACGGTGCACAGTCATGGAATTTCGACCAAAATAATTACAATCAAAATGGCCCAGGCATGGGAACTGGTGACTATGGGAACTTTAACTCAGGATTCCAGACAGGATACAATCAAGGTAATTATGGCCACTTCAATGATTATCGTCGCAACAACTACGGCCGAGGCCGAGGCCGTGGCCGCGGATTCTATGGGGCCTACGGCCGGGGAGGTTACCATCAGCACGGCGGTGCCATGAATCACTACCAAGACCAGGGCCAGTACCCCCAGTACAACCAAGGACAAGTGGCAGCAGCCTTCCAGGGCCAGGGCGAAGCTGGGCAGCAACCGACGCCCACGGCGGCAGGTGCTCAGGTCGACGAGGGCGCCAACGAAGGCGCAAGCCAGGCCAGGGCATCAGAGAGCGAAGCTGGCGCCGACACCATTGACGGGCCCAAGCAAGACGACGTGGACTCTGCAACATCGCGCGACGTCCCGGGCAACGACGTTTTCTCCGGAGGCCCTGTGCGCCCATCAACAGCCCAGCCAGACGGACCAGGTGTACAGAACCGAAACGGCGTCGCGGCCATCCGCTCCATCCTGTCCGCGCCGGACGCTCCGATTAATGCTCCCAAGGGCCCGAAAGCCATGCGCCAGGGACTGCCCAACACCAGTCTGCTAAACCTGCGAGCACGGGGCTTCCAGATCGAAGACAGCGGTCTGCCAGTGCAAAAAGCTGCTGCCATGCCGTCGCAGCAGCCGCCGCAGGGCCCGCCGTCGAATCCGGCTACTCAACCCGGCTCTAGAAGTAGTACTCCCAACCTGGACAAATTGCGGGACCGTGATCTTCATCGTGATCGCAGCAGAGAGCAGTTCAGGAGCTACGATAAGCTTGGCCGAGGTGGTGGGGAAATCGAGGGGCCCCTTGGCGCTCAGGAGAAGGACCGGGAGCGAGACCGAGAGCGAGTAGACCGTGCCCGAGACCGAGAGCCTGAGCGCTCTGGCTCAAGGCTCAGCAGTAGAAGTCGAAGCCTAGACCGCAGCAGCCGCAGTCCGAGCCGCAGTCGGGGTCATAGGAGCTCGCACAGACGACAGCGGCGTCAGCGCTCTGAGTCTGTAGGCGAGGAGGACAAGGACGACTCTTACCGCCGCAGGAAGCACCGGAGCAGCAGGAGACACTACTACGACGACGATGACGAGCAGCCGCCTTCGCAACGAGCCAAAGACGACAAAGCAGCCGAGAGGTCCAGATCGGCCTCGCCCGATGACGCTAAACGCTCAAGCCACCGCAGCCGCAAGGACAAGGACAAGGAACGAGACTACGAGCGGCGCAAGGACAAGTACAGAGAGGAAGAGGACGACCATCCGAAATCCGGCGGCCACCGCTCTTCACACCGGGACCGGGGAGACTACGAGCATTCATCGTCGAGGCGTCACGACAAGGAGCGAGAGCGCGACAAGGAGTGACAAGGATAGCAGCAGTAGCCGCAAGGATAAGGATCGCAAGGACCGATATCGCGATCGTGATCGTGATCGCGATCGCGTTCGAGACCGAGACAGAGACCGAGATCGAGAACGTGATCGAGACAGAGGCAGAGACTACAGCAGCCGGCACGGCAGCGGCAGCAGGAAGCATTCGGCCGATGGCAACGCCACCCCAGGCGGCGACAAGAGTTTCGATCCGCCCACGGGCCCGCGTGGCTCCCGTGCTGCCGGGAGCAGCTCGTCCGCCGCGCAGAAAGACGTGCACACTCTGGAACGCGAAGCGCGCAACCGTGAGCGTCTGCTCAAGGAAGCCCAGCGCATGGCCGGGCTCGCAGGCCTGGCCGGCTCGAAGCGCAGCCGAGACGACGCCGACGATGGGGGTCGCAAGGGACGGCGCAGCAGGCGCAGCGACGCGGTCGACGGAGACGGCGAGGAGCGGCTGCGGAGGCTCGAGGCCGAGAGGGAGGGGGGACGCTGGGGCTAGCAGCCCTTTTTGACGGAGCAGAAACAGACCAACTCGGGACGGTATGAGCGGCATCCAGGCCAGGAGAATCGCGAGGATGGCGGCTCGGCGCAGCACGTCGGTGAGACGGGTGCAGCAGGGCGGCGAGCCATGAAGTTTCTGGACAGCCTGCGCTGAACGACTATGGACGAGTGGCCTGGTAGGAATCGTCGAGCGGCAGTGGCTTGGGGAGACGATGAGAGCATGGAGAGAGACTTGGCTGGACTGATTGATTGGTCTGACTGATATGATGGGGTGAAACTTGCCTCGTCCAAGTACAGCTTGGGGGAGCTGAAAGCGCTGCGATTGCATGCATGTCTGATGTATATGTAGGACTAAACAAAATACAGATCACGGTACATTTTGCATTGAAGTTGTCTATTAAGCATGATGATCGCGTAACATGTACTGCAATTGGCAGATACGAGAGTGAAAAAGCATAGTTGATATTCTTGATTCTTATATTCTCGTCTAGAACTCGTATTGTCACGCCCAACTTCAGAAACGCTATTTGCATATACATGGTGCAGGTAGGTTGAAGTATAACCACCAACAGAAACTGCTCACATAGGTGAGATGAAGGCGATATAGGTAAGGTAGCCAAAAAATTTATATGTTTTGTCATCTGTCCTTTTTGGTATATATGCATGTATGGTGAACACCCGTGCCATTTGTCTGCCATATCGAACCAGTTTCCTCGAGATCCTTTGACCGAGACACGCTGTTGCTGACACTCTTTCACCTTAATGAACTGAGATGCATTCAGCGTTGTAAACAAGGGGGGTTTCCCTCTGGCGACTTCGTACATGAAGTGATGATCTGTACGTCTAGTATATGCCCTGTGTGCGATATTGGAAAGTATCGTACCTTTTCAATAATCCATTAGCTTCCTTCTCCCTTTTCAATTAGGTTCACGGGAGACAGAGGGACAAAACTCACAGTCGTGTGTAATAGCTGCCA